TGTAGCCTTAAACTTAATCCATTCGTCTTCGATCGATCCATCTGCATCAACCGACCAATCAGTAGAGATCGCACAGTCTCTGATTGCCGGAATATTAGCCCGCCAGATATTGGGACGGGGTGGAGCAGATACAAATCGTATACCATGTGTCCTAAACTTAAAGTGAAGTACAACGTGATCACTGTTCACTAGTGGAGGAAGGTGCTGAATATCAAAGACGTCCTCACAGTGGTGGGTGAGGGCGAGGTCCAGCAGTGACGGATCACGTTTCAGATCAATATGTGTCGGTTCAGTGATACATTGGACAAGTGCACACTGAATAACTGTTGATAAAAGTTCGCTATCAAAACCTCCACCTGGAGCTGTAAGCTCTATCCAGTTTATGTTCGGAGCGTTGAAGTCCCCAATGATGAGGCAACATTCTGCCATACTCCAAGAACAGATGTATCTTAAGATAAAGTCGTCAGCAAGACAACACGGACTACGGTATATTCCGCCTATAGTCACTAACCCATTTCTAGATTTAATCTTACAACATGCTACCTCACATGTACCACTAACATGAGCCTCCGATATGATTGATTGTATACGAAAGTGGTCCTTAATGTATAACATTATGCCTCCCCCCTTGCGGCTTAAAACTCTATCACTTCTAATACAGATATAGCCTGCAATGATGGGAGAACATTCTATATCTACGGTGAACCAAGTTTCTGTAATGACAATTATATCGGGACTTAATTCATCCACCATCAGACTTAGCTCGGACGTTTTATTCCTAAGACTACGGGCGTTCGTGTAGCACACACTTAAGGTGTTATGGTAATCGTTCGTTCTACCCATACAGGCCTCGGAAGCATTGGCTTCCAAGACCTGACTACCCGAAAACCCTTAATGGTAAGGTTAGTTTCGCCATTTAACTTGCGAGTTCTTAACTCCGTAAGAGCATTCTTCCACTTGATTCGATCCTCAAGCGGCCAATCTGGTCGGGTACGAATATTTGAATCACGAATTTTTTGTGCGTTTTTCAATAATATATCTCGTTCTTCAAAACTCCCTAGAACCAGCTTCAAGATCCTTCTTGGTTGGGTCTCGCCTCCAACCCATTTACCGAGTCGTATCACTTTCGTGATATGTACTCCTGAAACCTCTTCAGGTAGTACGTTTCTTACCACGGATTCTACTAACTTCAGATCATGTGCATGTCTCTTAGCAGGATCGTTGTCTATCGACTCCTCTAGATTCCAAATAATTAAGCTAGGGAGTGGTTTAGTTTCTTTAGGAATCGTGTTAACGGCTATCGATCGTGACCTAACATCCTGTATATTAACTACTGGTATCTTACGATTAGTTTTTATTGTAACAGAGTCATTGGAGTCGAGAGAGTGACTCACAACAATGTTTGACGAGGCTTTACTTTGGGACTTTGGCGGAGTGATCAGAGAGTCCACCAAAGACTTATCAAGTAAACAGTCCTTACTTTTAGCTGTTTTTCCTACTCTTCTGCGTTTACAATTCATCCATATTCCGTCAGCCGTAGCATCTACATTGGAACTGCTCGGGACAATAATTGTTTTATCTGGATCACCAGTTGCTGCTGTAGCAACATGGCCACAAATATCTAATGAGGTGTCACTCATTGATTGTTTCGAGGTAAAAATTTTGATTTCGGGTTGCGCAGTTAGATGTCTGACTTGCGCCGTGACAGCACTTACGACACTAACGCGATCTTCGCTATCGGCACCAATATTGTCAGTGCAGCCCTCGTCGACCTTCTTATTAGCCAACACCAGGAGGCTAATGGCTTCCTGGATGAGTGTTGTTTTGTTTGAGCAACAAAAACTACAAAGCCAATGAGAGTTGGGCTTCGAGCACCTTTTATATGCAGCGGGGCTTAGTCGGGTGCACATCTTGTGGAACCACTTCTTACACTCATCACATTGCATCCCTTCCTCCACGGGGAATAAGCAACATGGTTGTCCACATTTATGAGCCGATTTGGCCATCTTGAAAACCAAATACAAAGGTGATACAAAGAGGATATGTAAAAAAAATGCTAAAACCTTGACTAAATTATCAAATAAAAGTCGACCAAGTATGCTTTGGTGCAATAATTACACAAAAGCAGAATCAAAACAATCAATACAATATCACTTTAACTGGAGTAGATTCAATTAAAGTGTAAACAGTAGTTTTGATGCGTAATTTACGATCAAAACAGTTAATTAACTCAACGAGAAACAATACCACTGTCCTTTTAGATAGCGCGCCTGAATGCCCCATGTTCTGTTCAGGAAGATTTAAGAGGAAGAACAAGTGACGACAGACTGGAATGAAGGATATCTCATTAAGATATCAAAGAAACGAGATCTGAGCATGTGAGAACTACAGAGGCATCACACTACTATCTGTGACAGGAAAAGTTTTCAACCAAGTTTTGTAGAGCCGAATGCAAGATTCAATGAACACCGAACTTCGAGATCAACAGACCGGATTCCGTAAGGATGGGTTATGTACAGACCAAATGGCGACACTACTGATCATCGTTGAACAATCACTAGAATGGAAATCATCATCAGACCTCAACTTCTTTGATTATGAGAAAGCATTTGACATTGTGGATAGGAGAACTTCGTGGAACATCCCTCGACATTATGGTGTATCTGGGGTGATCTTTCACATCATAGGGACTTCATACGACAGACTACACCGGAAAGTGTTACATGGAGGACAGCTGACATTTTCATTCCGAGTGAGGACCGGAGTCAGACAAGGCTGCCTATTCTCACCCTTTCTCATTCTTCTGCTGATTGACTAGATTATGAAGACCTCGACGCTGAGGGAAATCACGGAGTACTATGAACAGCTTGAATGCATCTAGACGACTGGGACTTTACGGATGACCTGTCCCTTCTATCACATACACACGAACAAATACTGGTCAAGACAAAGAGTGCAGCAGAAGCCTCTGCTTCAGTAGGCCTCATTATACACATGGGGAAAAGCAAGATTCTCAAATGTAACACAGAGAGAATCATCTCGACCATACTTAATAGAGAAGCACTGGAAGAATTGGGAACTTTCACGTACCTGGTCAATATTATCGATGAACAAGGCAGATCTGATGCAGACGTGAAGGTGAGTTTTGGCTAAACAAATCGAACATTGATCAGCAATAATGTCTGATAAATTTGTCTAGCAGGTATATGTAGTGTAAACGTCGTGTGTCATTTGTTTTCTCGTGAGTGAAGAGGAAGATGTAGGAGTACCAGCCCCATCTTCCTGTTCGTTTGATTTACTATCAATATGGTTAAAGGGAGAAAGGTAGTCGGTAGGTAGCTTGGCGAAAGCACAAGGTTTAGAAGTTTCAGGTGGAGGTTGAGTGGCTTGAATGAATGGGTAGTATATTTGGGGAGTGGTCAGGATTTTTGGTCATGAAGCTCATAAGGCTAGGAACAGTTATCGGTGAAGAGGTAGATGTGTCACTCCCTATTAGGTCGGAGTATATAGAAGATGGCCAATTACAGGCAAACCACTGTGGTGTTTGAATGAAATAATGATTGATTTGTACTTGTTGAATGTTTGATTTCGAATTCTAAATACAGTACATTCGTTAGTGCTTATGTAGTACTTCTTCATTCAATTGCGTTATCTCTGGGATTATTAGTTCATACTATAATTCAATTACTCCTAATTATCATAACCACTCATTGGAATCTCATCCACACCGTTAATATAGTGAATATGCATTGAAAATGTCATAAGCAATGTTGGCTTTGCAAACAGCTACATGAACATACATAAGGAGACTTTAAGGAAGCCGTTCATATAAACAAATACATGTCAGGAAACGTTATCATATCTGAGAAAATACAACTCATATGTAGGATCAACAAAGTGAAGTAAACATACATTTGGCCAGATCAATATAAAACAATTCAATTATTCAGTTATTTTACTTGGAATAGTGTGAAAGAAGGAATTTGAGATCATACATGCAATAAAATGGGTTGTTCATTGCAGAAAAAATATAATGATGAAAAACACATTGTATTTCGTACCTCATGTTAACAACATATCAAATAATGGTATTCGGAATGCAAAGAGATATGCAAGAAAGGATATATGGGAAGTGGAGATTGAAATATCAATACGTTTACTTTGTGAGATAATAAACTGAGTTACAAAAATAAGGATTATAAGAGTGAGATTGTACGTCGGGCTCACCAATGTAATATTATGGTCTACTATGATATTATTTCTGTTCTAATAATAGACCTAATCCTGGAATTGTTATTTGTCATGATATAACTGCCTAATCTATAGGATCTTATGTGGAAGTTGCATCATCGTCTGCATCAACTGATTGCATCGTAACAATTACCAATACATGATCGGGAAAAAGCTTAGGCTAGAGAGAGAACAATATATTTAATATGAACAAAAGATATAAGGTAACATTCAGCAGGGACCTCGCTTGCTATTCCAAGCCATGCCATCCGATCAACTAGAATTAGTTCAACTCATTGTTCCCGCCTTCTCCATCGTTGGGTTTTTCTCTTCGTTAAATGTTGACCATCTATTTTCCCAAGTGTCTGCCGTTCAGCTTTGAGGATTGTGTGATTAGGGCCGAATGCCACAACAAGATAGCAAACGTTACGGGATATCATTGGAGCAATTTAACTCTTTTGTTTGATTTGGTTGTCGTCATTATATTAATTAGAAGTTCCTGTGTTGCAACTTTATCGGATGTGTGTTCACTAGCGCAGATCCATTGAACTGCAAGGAACGGTAATGTAGTGACTTTTTTGTTGTTATCTGTCTTTAGAAACTAATCTACAATGCTTTAGTAACTTAGAATTATAACAACGGCAAGTGTCATGGCGATTTCCACATTCTTACAAAATTGGTGAGCAATACATATCAAATTTTCATGTAGCTTTTTTAAAAAAAGCTATTGCAAACAGGCATAGGATGTAGGAACAAATACGGAAGCGGCTGTTTCAAAAATGGTCGGTACGGATCTCAGAATATCCACATGGATATGTGGCTTAGTTCAGATTCGTGTTTGATGCTCTCTGGAATTTTCACAGGCTATTGTTGTTAATGGTTACGCCTAAAAGTAAATGGTCATTTTCTTGTCCAGTAAGTAATCCTAGTCCACCTGGATGACGTTTACTGTTTCACTGTATATTATGCTTGCGCTCCGTCGTAAGCTTCTAAACTACGTAAAATATCGTACTATATCCTTAGGTTGTCTTCGGTTCGGGACTCGTTTCATTATTTTAGCTACAAACCAGGTATCTTGAATCAGTAAGTACTTACTGATTTAGGGGAAAAACCCCAAATTCAGGGGAAATTGGTTTTTTTATGCCATTTCCCCAAAGTTTACTATAGCGGCTTCCTCAAAGTGGGTCAATTTTTCCCCAGAAATGGGAGATTGGGGTGTCTCTTCAGAAACACTAACCCTTAGCCACCAACAGCAAACCTTAATTCTAGTTCATCACCATGGTTTATAACTCTCATTTGGTTCTAGTTAGTATATAGACATTCTCAAGGTCGCTTTAGAGTCTCCCAAAGATCGTCCTTAAATTAGATTCTCGCCCCAATGTCCTGAACACAATACCACGCAATCCTCTCAATGTTCCACAACGTCCATTTCTGTACCCTTTAACAAATTTCATCAGCCAAATTTATGGTTTATTGGTCATCAAACTTAGGGTCTTTGAGACACGTACGTCAGGAAAATTTGTATTCGTTTGTATGTCTACATCTTAACATCACGTCCATCTTGGGTTTCAGTGGTTGATTTATTTACTGTTACCCTTACATTTTCACTTGGTATGTTTAATTATTACTATAGCTCCGCTTCTTGAGTGTTCCATACAGCACTTTTATCTATTTTGATGTTCGCATGAGATCTATTGTTACAACCTACTCTGGTCATGATTCTGAACTGAGTACATATATTAGGGAGTGAGTACGATTCCCACTCACTAAACTTCATCAGCACAATACAAGGAAATCGAAACGATGAAAAGGGTGTGAACAACTCAAGGGGTACTGAAAAGACAAACGTAAGGAATATGCTATGAATAATATTGCTTTTGAGAACACGATGCATACAAGAGATCAGACATTGAATCATGTCACTTCAAATATTTAATAGTGGTTAAAATATTCCAAATCAATAGGTTACGTGTTTAAACTCCGTTCTACCTATTTTGCTCTAGGGAACTGTGCAGTAATACTAGCACATAAAGCAGCTCATTGTGAAGTACTTAAGGAATTACTTGGTAACTAAGTTCAATACTGTGTGGAAGATCGATATCAAACCCCAAGCTCCTATCGCTGTCTGAAATTTCATTACTAACATAAAGCAAGGAAGATAGCAGTTGATTTAGACTGGTCAACCCCACAGATATACGGGGATCGTGTACATGGGACCTAGAATATGCGCATTGGTTTTGGTTGCCATACACATTAACTGGAATTTAAAATCGAGAACATAAACAGTGAGTGCATCTATTCTGTTGTGAATCATTTCACCCAAAGCTTCCAACCACTGATCACTGTTATCATGTGAACCAGGTAACCTGCATAAACCAACATGACTCAAACCAACAGTCATTGACTTCGTGGACTAATGTCACGTTTTAGTTTGGTCGCCTTTAGTTTTTTCCGAACCTACTTATTCACTTTTAAGTGTCATTCATCAAGGTAGGGGTTGGTTAGGCATATGCATGTTCTACCTGTCTCTGTCGATAAAGATTCATTACCTCATCAACTGGCTTGCCAACTTTGTTTAGTACCCTGTTCCTAACCTCAGCGTTGCTTTCCCGATTATTGTACGAAACGTAAGCAGTGCTTCGAAGACACCTATAATCAAAAACCTTCAGCCTACGCATGTATCCTACTTTCGTAGACCATGGGATTACGAAAAACCAGTGGAATCCTGCGACGTCTATTGCACGGGTAGACTCTCGTTAACTCATCCCGTCAGGCTCCGAACACGATAAAGAGCGAAAACGTATCGGATCTAGGCTAATCAAAGGTCTAAGGAACGGCTGTGAGCAGTCATGGGCGACGAAAACAAAATAGATGGAAAAAGCAGCGGCTATAGGTAACATCAAACAACTTTGCAGACTAATAAACGAAACTGGAATTAAGAGGTCAAGTGTGAGAATCTCGGAAAATGATGACACTTATCTGCTCTCAACCCAGACGTTTAGAAAGATGGAAGGAAGACCTTAAGGAGCAGTTTAGCAGACTTTCGGCTACTCTACAACTACCCACTATTCCCAAACAGCCTAAACGGAACATTAAAATAGATCTCGAAAAGCTACAGCTGATATGAAACGAAGGAGAACAGCTGGTCCAGATAGACTGACTCCAGGGGTCTTAAGTCTTCAGTAATCGTATTCGGTGGTAACATGCAATTTGCAACCAGGCAGTGACTCGAGAACGTTTAGATAGAGCCGAATTTCCACCATAGGCGAGCTGCTGTATAAGTCGAAAAATAAGAATAGACAGAGTAGGAATAAGAGCGAGTGAATAGATGGCGTAGTAAATAATAATAATGACAATAGTAATAATAATAATGCGAGTTATTTGATTGTTAGACTGTTCATCAGCCCCCGAATGCCCTGGTATGGCCGAGAGTGGGGTGGGTTCTCCCTCCCTCTCGAAATACTCTCACAGCCACGCGTATACAGCCTCTACCAGGGAAGTCCTACTCACTGCCTTCTCGTGGCTGGGGTGTTGTTTACGAAAATGAGAGGACGAAAAGCGAACGTCCGGCGCTATGACCGGATCCCAAACCAATGGTGCACATGAGCTACAGTATCTTGAGGAAACAAATGGCGTATGAACCAATTTCTTGGTCATCGGCTTCCATGGGACTGCATTTCCTCACGATGCTCCACTGCCTTGTGGGTCAGACCTTTAGGTCAAAGGCTTGGGGCGTGGACCCTAAGAAAACCACCTGCCTCGGTCTGGGCACCCGGGCAGCATCTCAGCCTACACGCAAAAGTGCGGCGCATATATATTTGGTGCCCCCATGTACCAATATTTATGTGTTTAAATAAATAAATAATAAGACTGTTCATCATGTTTTTGTACATAGGCTGAGATACTGCCCGGGTGCCCAGACCGAAGCAGGTGGTTTTCTTAGGGTTCACGCCCCAAGCCTTTGACCTAAAGGTCTGACCCACAAGGCAGTGGAGCATCGTGAGGAAATGCAGTCCCATGGAAGCCGATGACCAAGAAATTGGTGAAGTACTAATAGTTCGCTCTCCATCTGTCACTTCAAAAAGCTTGTTTTATGTGCGTTTATCCGGGGACCCTGTGGCATCTTCGTCTGGTCTTGCTGGCGTTTGTGTCGCACTAAGCGCTAGAGCTGAGGCAGAACTAGTCGACTGGATCCCCGTTAACAGTCGGTTATGTGCTGTTAGATTAGAAAGTTCCATCAAAGTGAGAAGAAATCGGCGTGAGAAACGATGTCTTTTCGTCATCTCCGCCTATGCCCCGACAGATTGCAGCCCGGATGCAATCAAGGATGAGTTCTACCACCAGTTAACTGTTCTCCAGAAAGTGCGTTCGACCGATATTATAGTACTAGCCGGAGACTTGAATAGTCAGGTCGGGCGTCTAGGCACAGAAGAGAGTCGTCTAGGTGGCCGATGGAGACTTGTTGTTCGCAGGACAGATAACGGGGACCGTCTACTGCAACTTTGCACAGACCACAACCTGTTTCTGGCTAGCACTAACTTCCGGCACAGTCATCGCCGATGTGCCACCTGGCGTCCTCCCTCTGCATCCCAAGCCCGGACTCAGATTGTTCACATCGCGATCAGCTACCGCTGGCGTGGTTGTGTACAAGACTGCCGCTCATTTTGGAGTACCTGTCTGAAAACTGATCATGCTCTCGTCTGCTCCAATCTCACCTTACTTTGCAGTGGCCAACGAAGTGACCGCCACCAAAGTATTGATGTCAGCAAGTTGGTTGCAACTTCTGTTGCTACTAAGTATCGAACCGAGCTAGCTTCTAGGCTAGCTACCATTCCACCGAAAAGTATAGATGAGCATTAGTTTCAACTCTATGACGCCATGAAAATGGCGAGTAAAGCCGCTTTCGGCTTTGCGAAACGTCCCGCTTACAAGCACTGGGTTTCTTCTGGTTCCTTACAACTGATTGAAGCCCGTCGGTCTACTCCGGGTGACCGTGAGTTTGACCACAAACGAAGGATGTTACGTACTGAAATTGGGCAAAGCTTGCGTAAGGACCGAGAAGCCTGGTGGTCGGAGCGTGCTAATGAGCTGGAAGCAGCAGCTGCATCTGGTAACTACCGGACACTCTTCCAACTCATCCGAGCCACTGGCAGCAAGAAGTCGTGTGTGCGAAACAATCTGCGAGGATGACAGAACGCCAATCACTAACATCCATTGACCTCTTGGACGATGGGCAGAATTCTTCGAAGGGCAGTTCAACTGACCTGCTGCTCGGCAACATCGGTCAGACTGTCCTGCCCTCCATGACCGGTGACAACTGATCCACCAAATGAGGTGGAAGTTAGCAGGGAATTCCAACACTTGAGTGATGAGATCGATGCACGTACAGTGAAAGCCAGAGCGGCTTATGCCAATCTGGGCCATCTTTGGCGCCCTCGTGATGTTAGTCTGGCTGTAAAAGGTTGGATCTACAACGCGTTGGTGAGAACAGTTTTGCTCTATGCTTGTGAAACCTGGGCTCTCCGAAAGGAAAAGGGTTTGGCATGGAGTCGGAACTCTAACCCGTAGAAATAAATCGTGCTAAAAAACGCCAACCAAATTAAACAAATTAAACCATCTAAATCCTGTCCTCCAAGTTGAAAAAAGAATTATTACGCCTCAAGATGAAAGCCGAGATTCTTCGGATGTCATGAAGCCAATGCCCCTTCTAAACACCACAACAACAATTTTTATAGGTACATGGAACGATCCACACAATGTGGAAGACCGTAAGGACTAGTCGAAGATCTGCAGAATTAAAGAAATACAACTTGACGGTTCTCGAAATCCGTGAAACCCATTGGATCCTAGTTGGACAGAAGAGGTTGGGCAGGGGGAGATGTTGCTGTACTCCGATCACGCAGAAGAAAATGCTC